AGTGTGCGTGAATTGTTTTTTCAACTTACAAAAAATACATGGTATTTTGAAATGCCAACATTCCATAACCGACCGATCGAAAGATCGTTCAATTATCTTTCTAATGGTATGAAAATGAAAAAAATATATTAATAATAAGAACTGCCGCCGAGCACTTGAAGTTGGGTACCCCCGTTTCCAAATGTGACAAAAAATTTTACCGTAACATCAAAACACGCAAAATTGACGTTTTTCAACTTACGTTTATGAAATTAATAAGAAGAATAGATATATAAAAATTATATTAAACAAAAGAATAAGATATCGGCATTCAAAATCTGTTTTAAAGATTAAACAAGATTAAATAGTGACTGTGTGATGTTAAGTTTAAAAAGGGTTAAAAATCAGGAAAAAACGACTTTCTTCCAACGCGAGCAATGGGAGTTGTGACACCTACTTGAACAGCTAAATCCATGATATTAAATGTTTTGTATACTAAACGTAAGCATGGAGCATAACTTTATAAAAACCGAACAAATTCTAATAATTTTCTGATAATTACTTAATGAGTTGTTACTTTTAATCAGATTTTAGTGTATTATAAAAGTTTCATTACTGAAAAAAGTAAAAATATGCGACAACTATTGTTGACTGCCTGAATGTAGGCATATGTTTTGTTGCCTGGCAACCTATCTTCTAATTGAATTTGGCATGGATGTATTTCTACGCTTTATGTGGCTATCTTTTTCTAATGTGATGTGAAGTATTGGACAATGAGAGGATGAACCCTACCGATATTTCCCAGTTCTCTGTCCATCTCTTGCAAAATGTGACATGTAACTAGTATGGCAACTGGTTGTTCAAATTTGGTGTGAGGTATATTGTTCATGAGAGGACAAACCCTACTGATATTGAACAATTTGCAACATCCGGTTCTGGAGTTAACCTTTTTTGCCGAAATCCTGAATGTGATAGAGGCTACAGTTTTTAACGGATATATTTCAAATTTAGAAATTAGTGTGAAGCATCGGGACAATAATAATAATAATAATAATAATCATTTTGTATAGCGCTGAGTGCTCCAGCTAACAGCTGCTCCGCGGCGCTTTTCACAATTAAAATATTACATATAATATAAAACAAATAGTTCCATAACATTAAAATGTCAACATGTTCATAGTTTAAAAGCACGTTTAAAAAGTTCGGTTTTAAGATTTTTTTTAAAAACAGCAACGTTAGTAGAGTCTTTTACATGTCTAGGTAATTCATTCCACACGTTAGCAGAGGCGTAAACAAAAGCCCGTTCACCAGTTTTAGTTTTTACTGTAGGAACATGAAGTAAGTTTTTATCAGCAGAGCGTAGGTTCCTGCTTGGTTTATACGGGGTTAAAAGTTCATTAAGATGTTGTGGGGAACAGTTATTATTTAGACAATTAAAAGTTAAAAGACTGATCTTAAAATTAATTCGTTGATAAACTGGTAGCCAATGAAGATTTTGGAGTACTGGAGTAATGTGTTCAGATTGTTTAGTTAGAGAAACGATACGTGCAGCTTTGTTCTGAATTTTCTGGAGTCTGTTTATATCTGATGCTGGTAATTGGTATAGAAGCGAATTGCAGTAATCTAGTTTGGAGAGAACGAAAGCGTTAGTTAACATTTTAGCGATATTTGACGTTATAAATGGTCGAAGTTTACCAATGTTGTAAAGATGAAGATTTAATGATTTGCAGGTAGTAGAGATGTGACTTTTCATTTTAAGATCGTGATCAAAGTAAACTCCCAAGATTTTTAACTGATTGAGAGGATGTTATTGTTGAATCACCGATTTTAACGGATTGAGAAAGAGATTTTCTGTTGATTAAGATGACCTCTGTCTTATCATCATTTAATTTTAGGAAATTAAGATTCATCCAATTTTTTATGTCATCTATACAAGCCTCAAGTTTACAGATTTCGGTGGAGTCACTCGGTGGTTTCAAAGCAAGATACAGTTGTGTGTCGTCAGCATAAAGATGAAAGTTAATTCCATGTTTTCGGATGATATCGCCAATTGGTGTTGTGTAGGCAGTGAATAAAAGGGGACCAAGAACCGACCCCTGCGGAACTCCAAAGCGTAGGGTTTTGGGAGACGATGTTGCTTTCTCAATGACTACATACTGTGACCTGTCAGTTAGATAAGAGCGTATCCATTTTAGACATAGTTCATCGACGCCAAAACGTGTTTGTAACCGGTTTAATAGAATATCATGATCAATAGTATCAAAGGCGGCACTTAAGTCTAGTAACACTAACACGACAGACTGTTTATTATCTATGTTAGTAACAATATCGTTATATACTCTCAGCAGTGCTGTTTCAGTGCTGTGACCCTTCTTATATGCTGATTGAAATTGTTCGTCAAGATTGTTAATAACAAAATGGTGTTTAAGTCTCGTGGATATAACTTTCTCAATTAGTTTTGATATGTATGACAGATTAGACACAGGTCGAAAGTTCTTTAAGTTATTCGGGTCTAGATTTGGTTTCTTCAGTAGCGGTTTAACATGGGCGATTTTTGTGAACTGGCTTACATTACCATGCATAATTGATGTGTTAACAATATGTGTAATTATTGGTAAGAGTTCATTTATACACAGTTTAAGTAACCATGTTGGTATTGGATCGGGGATCACGTGGCTAAGTGGGTAAGACGCTAGCTTGCTAGCCTGGAGGTCGGGTGTTCGATCCCTCCATTGGCCGAGAAAGTTCATCCAGATTTACCGGCGTGGTTCTCCCTTGTCAGTGATGCAGGACGGAGGGGCTGACAAGGAAAGCTGTCTAGTCGTTCGGATGGGACGAAAAACCGAGGTCCTGTGTACACATTGGCGTGCACGTAAAAGATCCCTTGGCAGTTGGAATTCGATATAAGAGTAGGCCGTAGTGCCGCTGTCCGGGCAAAATTTCCCTCATAGCACACTGTATGGCGTATGCCCGTCTTCATTAGCCCAGGTTAGGAGCAGAACAGTAGGACGTTAAACTCCATTTCATTTCATTTCATTTTGGTATTGGATCAAGGTTGCATGAAGAAGACGAAGATTTACTTATCAAATCCTTGAGTTCTGTATTAGAAGCAGGAGAAAAATTTGTAAGGGGTGAACCAGCGAAGGGTTTTTCTTCACACAAGGCAGTAGATATATGATCAGGAAATTCGGAACGAATTTTATCTATTTTTTCATGAAAGAATGTTGAGAACTTTTCGGTTAACTTAGTACTTGTATTTTGAAATCTGTGGCCTTGGTTCTTTAAGAAACTGAAAGTGAGTTATAGATTTGACGTGGGTTTTTCTTATTTTGGATAAAGCTATTGGAAATGTAACTGCGTTTTGACGAAGAGATAAGACTGTTAGTTTCATTTCTTGCTTGTTTATATATTATAAGTCACGATCAATTTCAAGTTTAGATTTACGCCATCGCTTTTCAGCTTTACGTCGGTCAATCTTTGACTGTCGAATGTCATCTGAAAACCATTTTCTATTCGGTCGTAAAATAATGTTTCTTGTTACGACTGGAGCATGTTCATCAAGTATGTTTGTTAGTACTGCATTATAAAGTTTGATCTGATCATCAACATCGGGAACTTCCTGGACACGATCTAAAAGTTTACTACTTGTTATCGATGTTTTAAAATCTTCAACGCTCAAATTCTTTGTATTGCGATAGGAAATTAAAGTTCTTTTTGGTTTTGGTTTTGCGAAAATCAGTTCACTTATAACACAATAATGATCTGAGATGAGATTATCTTCAACCTTCAAAGATTTGATCAAGTCACTGTTGGCGCGGGTTATCACTAAATCTAGAATATGACCACCCTTGTGTGTTGGTTGAGAAACATGTTGATGTAAATGAAATGAATTAAAACCTCTTTAAATCTGTTAACTGTCGAGTAATTTGATTTGTCGACATGTATATTAAAATCTCCAAGTATTAAAATATCTTCAGGACCATCCAGAATACCGTGTAAGAAATCCGAAAATTCATCTAGAAAAGTGTCAATTGTACATTTATTAACTCGTGACTGGGGCGGTCTATATATAATAACTATCCGAAGAACACAGCTGTTTAACTGAATGTTATTTTGAAGAACTTCAAAGCTGGAGTATGTAGATGATGCAACACACATAACATTAATTGAGTCTTTGTGGATAAGGGCAACACCACCGCCATTTCTATTACAACGGTTAACAAGCGAATATTTATAGTTATCTGGAATAAGTTTGTTAATGACAAAACTGTCATTAGGTTTCAGCCAAGTTTCAGTCGATACAAATAGATCAAAATCATTTTCAATAATGAATTCATTAAGTTCATCTGCTTTATTTCTCACTGATCTGGAGTTCACAAGACATAAATTCACGAACTGACATGCATTTTGATTCGATTCCGGCTTGACCTTTATAGGACAAATTGAAATTAAGTTGTTGTGGTTAACATGGTTTGTACTTATCTTAGATTCTCTCACTGTGATAATAGATTTAATCCTTCTTTTACCCCCTCTCACACCTCTCTTAGTTGATTTAACATTAATCAACTGAGGCTGTTTAAAAGTAGAGTAATTTTCTTGTTTATGTTGATAACAGAGCTCACCAATCTTCAACAACTCAGCTTTGGTGTAGGTGATCATACTCACATAAACTCACAGTTGAAGTAAAATATAAATAAAAACTAAATTGCAATTTCTGCTAATATATCCAATAAAATAGATAAACAAGTTCCACTAAACTGATCTTCAAATCAAAATACAGGTACATGCCAAAATTAGCATGGTTTAAAGATTGTTATATCCTTTAAAATACACAAAATAGTAAGAGCTAAAAACACATGCAGCCACCTTGGGCGCCATTACATACCTACAATGAGAGGATGAGCCGCCTATTGATTTTCCCTGTTATCCATCCATCTATTACAGAATGTACACCTATCTTGCATGGCAACCGCTTGTCTATATTACTTTTAACAGCTCACATTTTATCATGATTTTTTCAGGAGATGATGAAGATGATGATGATTCTGAGGAAAAACTTCCATCCTGTTTGGATTATGTCATGCATTTCCTCACACTCTTCTGGAAAATATTGTTTGCTTGCGTTCCTCCAACAGGTAGACTTTTTATACGCTCACATTGAAATGTAGTCGTATATTGTCAATTCTTCAAATGTCTTCTAGAAGCATGGTTAACTATTCTTAACAAAACACAACACAAGGTATAACTACTTCTCTATTATTTAATAACGACGTGTAACACATACAGATCACGTTTTGAAGTGATCTGTATGTGTTACAAAACGTCGTTATTAAATAATAGAGAAATAGTTACATGTATATCCATTAATACCTTGTGTTTTGTTATGAGTCGTATGGTCATCGCCCCCGTCTATCCGCCCAGTTCTAGAGGCTAAAGTTATTATCTGATTGACGTTAAATTTAGGCAGTGTGAAGTAGGGTGTTTCATATTTGAACCTTTTTTCGCGATTGAACTCTACCATATGCCATGCGTTTCCAATTGGGTCCAAACTCATCACCAGCGATTATTGTAATTTTCCTACTAAAAATGGCGGGCCGCCCCCATTTTGAATTTTTCACCAAAAATGACTCAATGTGAAATATTTATACGCCCACATTTTCATGTGGACGTATTATGACGTCCGTCCGTCCACAATTGTTTGTGGACTCTCTACAGGTCACAATTCTTATCCGATTTCGACGAAACTTGAAATATAGGTTTATCCCCAAAAGATCTCGGCTGCTTTCGATATTGGCATGTATCGGATCGAAACTTCATGGATTATGGCCCCTGTTTGTACGAAAAATCACGTTTTTAGCTTGTGGACCCTATAGAGTTCACAATTTTTATCCGATTTTGTTGAAACTTGAAATGTAAGTTTATAACCCAAAGATCTCAGTTATGAATTATCTGAATTATGGCCCCTGATTGTACGAAAAATCACGTTTTTAGCTTGTGGACCCTATAGAAGTCATAATTTTTATCCGATTTAAAAAAACGTTCTATTATATCACCGTTACACCCTAAGGATGAGTGAGTTCGAATTTTGTGAAAATTGGCCCAAAATTGACAGACAAAATGGCCGCCATTCGTTCCCAAATAGCGTAAGAATATGGTATATCAAGGTTGTGGACCCTATAGGGGTCACAATTTTTATCCGATTTTGTTGAAACTTGAAATGTAAGTTTATAACCCAAAGATCTCGGTTTCTTTCTATATTCGTGCATATCGGACCGTAACTTCCTGAATTATGACCCCTGATTGTATGAAAAATCATGTTTTTAGCTTGTGGACCCTATAGAAGTCATAATTTTTACCCGATTTAAAAAAACGTATTATTATATCACCGTTACACCCTAGGGACGACTAAATTCGAATTTCATGAAAATCGGCCCAAAATTGACAGACAAAATGGCCGCCGTTCGTTCTCAAATAGCGTAAGAAAATGGTATATCAAGGTTGTGGACCTTATAGAGGTCACAATTTTTATCCGATTTTGTTGAAACTTGAAATGTAAGTCTATAACCCAAAGATCTCGGTTCCTTTCGATATTCGCGCATATCGGACCGTAATTTCCTGAATTATGGCCCCTGATTGTACGAAAAATCACGTTTTTAGCTTGTTGACCCTATAGAGGTCATAATTTTTATCCGATTTAAAAAAACGTATTATTATATCACCGTTACACCCTAGGGACGACTGAATTCGAATTTCATGAAAATCGGCCCAAAATTGACAGACAAAATGGCCGCCGTTCGTTCTCAAATAGCGTAAGAAAATGGTATATCAAGGTTGTGGACCTTATAGAGGTCACAATTTTTATCCGATTTTGTTGAAACTTGAAATGTAAGTCTATAACCCAAAGATCTTGGTTCCTTTCGATATTCGCGCATATCGGACCGTAATTTCCTGAATTATGGCCCCTGATTGTACGAAAAATCACGTTTTTAGCTTGTAGACCCTATAGAGGTCATAATTTTTATCCGATTTAAAAAAACGTATTATTATATCACCGTTTCACCCTAAGGCCGACTGAGTTTGAATTTCATGAAAATCGGCCCAAAATTGACAGACGAAATGGCCGCCGTTCATTCTCAAATAGCGTAAAAATATGGTATATCAAGGTTGTGGACCCTATAGAGGTCACAATTTTTATACGCCCACATTTTCATGTGGACGTATTATGCCGTTGCCCCCGTTCGTCCGTCCACAATTGTTTGTGGACTCTTCTACAGGTCACAATTCTTATCCGATTTCGACGAAACTTGAAATATAGGTTTATCCCCAAAAGATCTCGGATACTTTTGATATTGGCATGTATCGGATCGAAACTTCATGGATTATGGCCCCTGTTTGTACGAAAAATCACGTTTTTAGCTTGTGGACCCTATAGAGGTCACAATATTTATCCGATTTTGTTGAAACTTGAAATGTAAGTTTATAACCCAAAGATCTCAGTTCCTTTCGATATTTGCGCATATCGGACAGTAACTTCCTGAATTATGGTCACAATTTTTATCCGATTTTGTTGAAACTTGAAATGTAAGTTTATAACCCAAAGATCTCAGTTCCTTTCGATATTTGCGCATATCGGACAGTAACTTCCTGAATTATGGCCACTGATTGTACGAAAAATCACGTTTTTAGCTTGTGGACCCTATAGAAGTCATAATTTTTATCCGATTTAAAAAAACGTTCTATTATATCACCGTTACACCCTAAGGATGAGTGAGTACGAATTTTGTGAAAATTGGCCCAAAATTGACAGACAAAATGGCCGCCATTCGTTCCCAAATAGCGTAAGAATATGGTATATCAAGGTTGTGGACCCTATAGGGGTCACAATTTTTATCCGATTTTGTTGAAACTTGAAATGTAAGTTTATAACCCAAAGATCTCGGTTCGTTTCGATATTCGTGCATATTGGACTGTAACTTCCTGAATTATGGCCCCTGATTGTACGAAAAAATCACGTTTTTAGCTTGTGGGCCCTATAGAAGTCATAATTTTTATCCGATTTAAAAAAACGTTCTATTACGAAAACTTTCGATGCCTACCTGCTGTTGCGTACCTGAATGCTCAAATAGAGGTGGTATAGAATTTCCTAGTGACCCTGATTTACGGTCAAAGTGGGTCCAGGCTGTCAGACGAGAAAGTGAAGACGGGAAACACAAGTTATGGATGCCGAAACCAACAAGTGTCGTCTGCCACAGCCAATTTAAGCCAAGTGACTACATCACCGCTACAGCTACTGGTATGTATATATTAACTTGATATTCTCCTATTTTAGATACCGTAATTTAAACATAAGCTAGCGTGAATATTTCTGCCTTTGCCAAAAATAACTCAAGCTGTAGATTTTCCTCTAGAAAAAAAAAAGATGTGGAAGGCCTATTCTACGGTGCAATTACCCCCCTCCCCCTTTTAAGGAAAGTTTAGGTCTATTATAATTAGTTTTTCAAATGTCTTCTTAAGTTTTATTTTATCGTTAATTTTTCATCTACATCTGATTTTAATACAAACAAATCTCTGTTTTTCAGGTACTAGTCCCATCTACAGGAAGAGGAAAGCAGATGCTGTTCCAAGTATTTTCCCATGGAGATCTAATAATTTAAATAAATCAAATGAAAGAGATCTGCGATACAATAAACGATGTACTGCCCCCTTATCTGCATATCATGATAGCTCAGATGAAATTTTAATTTTAAATACATCCTCCGAACTAGATATTGGTAATGAATGTGAAGTTACTAACAGTGATTGTGAAAATATAACTGATAGTAGTGATAGTGAAGATGCTGATGTGGAAATTTCTACATGTTCAAAATTGTTTGTTGATTCGTTTACAAATACAGATCCCCTACCTATGATATCAGTAGAACGTTTTGTTAACAATGATGCGGGCATGCTTTTTTATACTGGACTTGCATCATATACTGATTTTTTGCATGTTTTTTATAGTTTAGGGGAAGCTAGTTATCATCTTAATTATTTATATTCACAGGTAACAAATGTGTCAGTAGAAAATCAACTATTCTTAACACTTATTAAATTACGGTGTCATAAAACAAATTTTGAATTGAGTAGATTGTTTGCCATATCACAGAAAACTGTAGAAAATATCTGGGTAACATGGATCAATTTTATGAAACTACAGTGGAGTGAATTAAATATATGGCCTTCTCGTGATTTGGTACGATATTTTTCGCCATCAGATTTCTTTGCAAAGTTTCCTACGTGTTATAATTGATGTAACGGAATGCCCTGTAATGAAGCCTAAGCCTCCAGTAGCTCAACAATCTACTTATTCGACATATAAAAACAGGAACACTATTAAAGTATTAGTAGGTTGTACTCCAGGAGGTGCTATATCATTTATTTCAAATGCATATGGTGGTTCAACTAGTGATCGTCAGATTGTTGAGAGAAGTTCGTTAACAACTCTGTGTGACCCTGGTGACTCAATTATGTCAGACAAAGGTTTTAATGTCCAGGAATTATTTGAGAGTCATAATATTGCTATTAACATTCCCACTTTCTTCAAGAAAAAGAACAGAATGTCTGGTAAAACCGTGTTGCGGGACAGAAAAATTTCTAGCAAAAGAGTCCATGTAGAGCAGATTATTGGTCTAGCAAAGACATTTAAAATCCTAAAATTCCCTTTAAATGCAACTGAAACCATGCTTGCTAGTGAAATTATATTCGTTTGTTTTATGCTATGTAATTTCAAACAATGCATAATCCCAAGACATGCATAGATAATTAAAAATTAGAGGGAAAGTTCGTTTTTATGCGCTTTATGAATTTTGATGTTATATTAATTATTACGAGAGGAATCCAAAAATATTTTTCTGTAGTCAAGCCACCATACTACACTGATGTAATGTAATGTCTTATGTAAATACTACACTGATGTAATGTAATGTCTAATGTAAATACTAGGAGGTGCACTTGTATGTGCCCACTTGACAATCGTAGACAAAAAATTTCTGAAGAACTTTATATCATTTTGTTTACAATTTTCATTTAAGCTCATGGAACCTTTCATTTGTCTTTCTGAGTTTTGAACTATGTTAAATAAAGAAAAAACACAGAC